AATGCCCTTAATGTTTTTAAATTATTTCATTAGCTTCATTTCAACTATTTAGGTGAAGTTCACAATCCTTCTTTGCCATCCATTCTACATTCTAGTTAAACAATGAATTTGATGTTAACTGCAGATCAATTATATTCAAAGTGTTTTCCAGCAAAAATGGCAAAACATAGAGAAAACCTCAACGCATGTAGCCATTATCAAAAGTTTTGAATGTGTGATTTAGCAAAATTTACTACACCTTTAAAGCAGTTTGCTTCCGTAATATGTCATTTGATTTGAACATCACGGCTGCTATCCATATAGTGACAAAGAACCCTGCCATCAGAGCAGCAAAGTAGTCAGTCAATAATTAAACATTATAAATGATAAAAAATAGAAAGGCATTTAAATGTCCAACAAAGTTTACCATGACGTATCTCATAAGAGGATGGTATGGATGGACGATTTTATCTATATATTACTAAAACAATTAAAATGAGGATGCTCAGGTGGATGAGTGGCTTTACCCTTAGAGATAGGATACGAAATGAGCATATACGTGAAAAGGTTGGAGTAGCTCCAGTAGAAGATAAGATTAGAGAGAGTCGCCTTAGATGGTTTGGTCACATAAAACGGCGGCCTTCCAATGACCCGGTTAGGAGAGTAGAGGTATTAGATTTGACTTATGTTAAGAAAGGTAGAGGCAGACCTAAAAAGACTTGGTTAGAAAATATTATGAATGACCTTTCTTTATTAGATTTAAATGAGAATTTGACCTTTAATAGGACACAATTGACAAAAATGATTCATGTAGCCAACCCCACGTAGTGGGATAAAGGCTTGATGTTGTTGTTGTATTATTAAAACAATTAAAATTTTGTATAAATCTTACTGCAACAAAAACAGTCATAAAATAGACAGACAGAAACTAGGGAAAAATCTGATAATTTATGTACATAGTTCAAGGCAACAAAGAGAAAACTTTTTTCGAGGGTTGGAAATATTGTCATTATTTTTCCAATTATTAATGATAGAATTGTCTATGATATGTGAAAAAAAAATAGATCCATAAGACAATAGTTTTTGCAACAAAGAGCCCTTTTTTTTAGCCCATGCAAAAGTGATAGAAAGAGATAATAATTTTGAAAAAATACTTCTTTCATGTCCTACTCTAGCTTCAAAACCTTGATTTTTAAATGCAAAAAAAAAAAAGAAAATATTAAATGGTTAGATAATTCGTTCTTGAGCTTCTTTAAAAAGGGTTTGAGCTTTGCTCGTGCATAAAAGTAAGCAAATGTATCAAAAGAAAGAGAAAAAAAACTAAGGACAAATAATTGCCAATGCTAAAAAGGATGAACAAAGCACACCTCTACCAACCATTTGCTTATATTATATAAATATGAAAAGAACAACACATTTTGAAAGCTTCCTTATAAGCTAAAATTTTAATGCACGTTTATAGAGTAAAAGTCCAAAATAGTCACCCGACTATTAGTAAATCCCAATTTAATCCCCTGACTATTAGAAAATGTTTCAATTTGATCACAAGACCAAAAGTAATATTTAAATTTAATCCCAACAGTTAAATGTGATGACATTTTGGGTATTGGAGTGTATGTGAGATTACATTATTATTTTTATATATTTTATTATTATCATATTAAAATAAATACAAAAATTATAATGAAAGTTAGTCAAGTTTATTAATTATTCACTCTTATTATTTAATTGGCTAACTTCTATTATGATTTTTGTATTTATTTTAATATGATAAATAATAAATAATATAACAATAAATAATATAATCTCACATATACCATAATACCCAAAATCCCCTCACATTTAATTGTTGGGGTTAATTTTAACTATTACTTTTAGAATTGGGACTAAATTGAGATATTTTCTAATAGTCGGGGGACTAAATTGAATCATTATGAAAGTCTGGGACTAAATTGGACATTTACTAATAATCGGAGGACTATTTTGAGCTTTTACTCCCGGTTCATATGTAACCAAACTTCAAGAAAAAAGAAGCCCACGTTATATTTCCCATTCCACTTGTGCTTCATCAATGTCTATCCTGATAGTTATAAGTATGGAATTGGGACAAATAAAATACACATGTAAATGGAAACTTTTGAACCATATCATGAGATGGAAACATTTCAGAGGTTGAAATTAATTCACGAGATTGCAAAGTCTGCAAAGGTCCAAGTTTAAAAGATATCTTGATAATATGCTAGTGAGTTCAATAATCATAGAATAGTTTCTTCTGCCTTAGAGGAAACTGACCTCTCTAACAGCGTTACAAAGCATTCAAGGCCAAAATATTTCTTAGAAATGTAAAAACTTTGAAACAAATTTAACCTAGTGTCAGAACACTGTTGCATGGGTTAGGGTTAAGAGAAAGCACTCAGAACGCCATCATACATGCAATAAAGAAGTATTGTATGACTTCAACACATACAAGATTTCTAGAGGTTTAAATATCACCTAGAAAAGCATCAAGTATTAAGTGCAGCAAATAGACTCACATCTGGAACTAAGATTTCTCAAGATTTCAACAAATATTACCCAGAAAATAAAAATCAATGACAAAAGCACAATTCTAAAGTTAGGGTAGGGTAATCATGTTAGGCAATGTGCCCTAAAGAAATATTATTGTAATATATTTTCTATGGAAATAAATATTTAAAGACAAGTTTAGCATGTTTCGATATTATCATTTGATATAATATTTTTATTCCATGAACAATAATTCAGTATATAATTATATACAAGAGGATTGAGTTATGGATAATAATCAAAACAAGTTCAAAATTATTAATTATAGTTGGAATCTATAATTAAATATTATTAGTATGATCCATCAACATTAAGAATGGAATAATCTTATCCGGATTATTCGATATGGAGATATTAAGGATTGAGGTACTTTATATAATATGATTATATAGAACTAGATCAAATAAATTTTGAATTCTCAAATAAATTCGATTTTAATTATAGAGTATTTAAAATTAATCATAAAGATGATCATATATAAAATAATCTTAATCATGAGTTATTAATAAACTCATATGTATGACATTTAGTTTTTTGACTTACTCGAAAATAGTTTGGAAGAAATAAACTCAATCCTTATATCTCAGAAACACAATGAAACAAATGGTTGGGAATGTTAATATACATATATGGAATCCATTCCTTTCATTTTTGAAAGTTAGAAAATTAGTTCCCTTGACAGATATGGAAGGCGCAGAAGGACGACCGAGAGACCGAAAGGTAAGTTTCCAGATTTTCTTCCTTACGTGCGTGAGTTTCTATGTGTCTCTCTATTCAAATGCATGTGTCTTCGGTTTTGTCGTGAGGAGCGAACGTGGGAATCTTGGGAGCGATGATTGCAAGTCGGAGCATGGGAACGGTTGTTGGAACCATAATGTAGTTATAGGTTAACCAATCCTTGCTCAGTCGGCGTGTTCCTCCACCTGGTATGCATCTTTGGCAGTATTCTCGTCGGCAACATCTCTTCATCGCGAAGGTATACCTCAGCACCGACTTCCGAAATTTCCTAATTATTTTCTTTCATGCGCTCAACACTACCCAATCGACGTCCCTTTGCTGCTCCTTGCATAAAATAGCAGTAATTTTATAACATTTTTTACATCGACTTAATGCCACAACTATAACTAGGCCAAGCACGGCAGTGAGCTAGTCCCGTCTCTTTTTTGATCTGATATATTTCATAAAGTTTTAGGTTTTATGATTGTTTGATATTTTATGATATTTGATTGTTTATCTTTTGGTGATATTGTGTGTTATGTAATTTATTTTGTTAGGTTAGTGATGCAAGCAAGAATTAAAAAATTCTAATTAGTGCAAGAAAATAGAAAATCTTTCTAGGATAATGAGAAAATACACAAAATATTAAAATTTAGACAAAATACAACATTTAAACACAATATGACTTTTATAGGATGAAGACAACCCTTACAAACTTATAACACTAAAACAAACACCTTACAACTCTTGACAAACATAAAACACCTAAAATTGCAAATCCATCATTTGAGAACAAGGATACAAGTGGTGTTGAACTTGCGGAGAGAAGAAAGAGTTTAGAAGTCGAGACGAAGAAGAGGACAAGCTCGCAAGCCTTCCCAAGAAGAAGAGAGAAGAAATGAAACAAGCTCTCAAGCTTTTCTGAGAAAACCTCAGGTTTTTATCTCCAAAAATCTGATTATAAACTCTCTTTTTTCATACAAAACACCTTATATTTATAGGAGAAAAGAGGGCAGCCAAACAACCCCAATTATCTTTATTTAAACCCATTAAATCAATTCCAAAAATCTGTACATAAACATCACCCAAAGAGCCACAAAGGAGGCATACATTCATTCCAAAATAGCACCCAAAAAGGCAACACATAACCGGGTAAAAGCAGCCACGGGACCAGCAGCATGGGGAGAAACTGAAGGGGCACAAAGGGGACCGGAACAACCACCACAGGGAATCGGGTAAAGCAGCCAAGGCAAGGAAAACCGAAGGGACACAGGGAAGGGGAAAGGAATAGGTAGCCAAGGGAAGAAGAACCAAAATGAGGAAACCGAAGAGTCAAAGGCAATGGGGAATGAACCAAGTAATGACACTTTATGAGATGAATAAGAAAAAGAAGCTCATTAATGAGCTAACTTTAGTTGAAACTTACAAAATTTTCAAATAACTTATTTTGTCCCCTCCTTGCCTGCATCAATTCTCCTCCGGTTGAAGAAGCTCATCTCCAGATGAGGTTGCTTTTGATTTATTCCGAGGAGACGAAGGAAGTGCATCTAGTTCTTGAATCTTTGCTTCATACCTTTTAAGAATTTCTTCTCGTTCTTCCTTAAATTGTTCTTGTAGACGCTTCTTTTTCTTCACATAGTTTTCTGTACTCATATGCAATTTCATCTGTAATTTGTATAACTCATTTTGAAGTGAGTCTGTTGAACTTCCTTCTGTCGGAACCCATATATCCATTGGAATTGAACTTCAAAAGCTTCAGGTTGATTTTCTTCGACAATTGACTCAACTTTTTTGTTTTTTTTTTCATTTTTTTAAACACTTAAAAAAATCACAAACGACCTAGGAAACTCTTAACCTAGCTCTGATACCAAATTGATGCAAGCAAGAATTAGAAAAATTCTAATTCTTCCAAGCTCCTAAGATAATAAGAAAATATACAAAATACTAAAATTTAGATAAAATACAACATTTAAACATAATATGACTTTTATAGGATGAAGACAACGCTTACAAACTTATAACATTAAAACAAACACCTTACAACTCTTGACAAA